AGCAAAGAAACCTCTGGTGAATAAGCTATGGCAAATCCCAAACATACATATAAATAAACAAGAGAGTAACATAACCAGCAAAGTTATTTTTAAATGTGAATTCTGATTCCCCCCAACAATTTTTTTTTTTAAATAAAAAGACAAGAAATTTAGACACATTTTTTATTAGAGCAGACACTATATTTTATGCAACTACTGTTTTGTAATACGGGGGCTGTTTCATTCCTCAAAACTGTTTCTTCTGTCGCTAGGGTTACGGGCCAAATTCATTTCAGGACACTAGTCATGACTGTCATCATCAGATGGCTTAGCTGTTACCTCCAGTGTGTAAATTAGCAGCAGTTCTCAGCAGATGTGCTCATATTAAAAAAAAAAAAAATCTGGAATCTGACATATTTCTAACAAGAAAGCATAAAATAGTGCTCTGCTCCCATTCAAAAGTTTTCCCTAAACTCAGGGAGGGTATTTGGCTTTGGCTGTCAGTTCTGTACATCATCTGTAGATATGAAGATCTAACTCCTGTAGACAGCTACCTCAGCACATTTTACCCCCACAAAAAAAAAAAAAACAACACACCATTAAAAAATGAACATCTAACACAAAACTAACATAATCTGGAGACTAATTCTCTTTGAAACAAGTTATTTGGACTGTCAAAGAGATAAGTCCTTTTCCAGCTACATACTTCTAAATTCACTCTTTTATTTGGCTGCAGGGAGCTTAATTTATTTTACAATAAGTTTTACAAATTTTTCTTTTATTTTTCCTAATAGTAAATAAGTAGCAAGAATGTCAGAACCTTGATAAGCAGCTATTTTTGAGCTCATGTGAATAATCAGTGTTTGAGCAGCAACCAGGCAAAGCCTTCCTCCCCAGACTGGGATCTTGTGAAGGTCATCCAAATGTGTAACTGGGAGATTTTAGAAGCAGCACCCACAGTTCTTTGTTATGAAGCAAGCTGAACTACTCCCTATTTCTCTTGTAGCAAATCGCGATATACTTCTGTTGCCCAGAAAGATGGAAGCGTTAGCTTACAAGAAGGTCTCAGAGAATGATCAGCCAGCCCTACAGAAATTTAGCTGGTATTTTTACTACAAAGTAGATGCATAATCAACCAGGTTGCTACAATGGCTGGCAGGATAAGCATAGTAAGGTGGGCAAAAGAGAGTTTAAGACGCATTTTGCTGGAGCCATAAAAAAAAAAAAAATTAAATTATCTTTCAAACATGTTGGGAGGTGAAAGTCTTGGCTCAGGAACAAATGGACAACTCAATGGCAGAAATATTCAATGAGAGATATTAAACACTCCTCCTGGAGCCATAGGGCATCAGGAACAGCAGAGAGATTTCCAGGAAAGAAACAGTACTTGCTCTGCCTGTTCTTATCATCTTCCCTGGGTATCTTTTTTTAGCCACTGTCCTTACTGAGTTCTGGGCTAGGCTGACTCCTAGGTTTGGACCAGGACAACTGTCCTGATTCACAAGGCTCAAGTGAAAGCGGCAGCCAGAGAGTACCACGCCAAGAGACTGTCTTGGCATCCAGGTTTAACTATGAGTGCAGCTTTGAAATCCTGCTCACAGACCACATGGATATTGCACTTATATCTATGGGTTCAAGCCCTGAACTACACACACACACACAAGAAGCAGTGCTTAGGTATTGTGCTTCCTACCCTGATGCTGCAGCCGTTCCCCAACACCCCTGCTTACCACTCTCCTCCCAGCCATGTCCGCAAGCGGCCTCTCAGGATTTTCGGTGTCTGCCTGCAGGCACAGCAGAAAGCAGCTGGCTGTTGGGCTCTGTAGGCTGCCCAAGGACTGCTCCCTACCATGAGAAACCCAGGCAGCCTTGTCAGAGGGCTACTCCATCCCTAACAACACCCCACTTGCAACACTGCTGACACACGCCAGTTCACAGCACCACAATATTCCAGCGAGAGTAAACTTAGGAAGGGAACGGGCTTGAAGCAATACCTACATGGCTATTGAAGTTAACTCTACAGCAAAAATATATTTTATCTTAAAGGTTATAGTGACATTGCGCTGAGGGTTGGTTGCTCAGAATGGTTCAATAAAACAACTTGCTAGAAAAAAACTGCTTACAGTAACTTACAGCTATATCCCTCCCACCACGGACTCGTGCAAAATGTAAAAGGAACAAAAAACATGGATTGTAAAACCTTGTCATTGCAAAATCCAGGGATTTTTCCCAATGAAGGGTAAACTGGCATGCAGATAAATTCAGAACATGTCCAGTGACATTTGATTTTTTTTTACAGTAAGAGAAAGAGCGCTGCACCACAACTGAGTAATGTACTGCCGTGCACAGAGGATCTTCTTTAAATGCATGGTGTCACTCCAATATTAAACACGACTCTTCATGTTCTAGTTTGTCTCAACCAAAATCTATTACAAACTTAGATAGGGGAAAATGAATAAAGGGGGGAAAAAGAGAAATGTCAGGGGTCTGTATCCTGACGAAGTTTTGACTAAATTATCAATTGAAACTGCAAGCTATCAATCCTTACGTGACATATTACAGTTGTTTTGTTGTTAGTGCTACATAAGAGAGAATTCCATCATCTAAGACGTTATCTGCTGGTAACTGAAATTCATGTTTGCAAATCCTTGCTCAGATGACTGTACAAAATTACAGTTTTTAAAATATTTTGGCAATACAGATCAAGTAGGTAAACAGAAATAATTGATAAATGATCAAGAGAGGCTGAAGTGTTTTAATAGATCTATTCACCAAGAATATAGGCTGTAAAACCATCATCAAACTACATGAAGCATGAACTAAAAATTTTTCCATCACTCAACAATTGTCTAACCATTGCTCCTTTCCCCACTGTACTCTACCTCTCATACTGTTGTTTATGAGCATTAAGCAGTCATCACAACAGCCCTGAGAAACAAACCATAAAAGCAGCGTAATTTTATAAGTAGAGGAGGATCTATGGGGTTGTTTGCAGAGCACCAAGACTAAGAAGGTAATGCTAAGAAAGGATCCCTAGCTGTTAGGGATCCTAACCTCTACACCGTTAACTTGTTCTGACAGCTTGAGCTGTCCCTTTTTGCAGACTCCCAATTTAAGTGCTCGAAGTCAAGTTTGCTTCAGAAACTGTCAGAGATTCTTGTGCCATTATTCCAACCTGGAATAAGAAGCTAAACACATCACAGACATTAGACATACAGCCTTCCTAAGTAGTCAGGGACTGTCAGCCTGGGATTTAACAAGAGGTTCTGCTTATCAGGGGCTGCTAAGGACATGCTCAAGCACTCTCTGACAACCAGACCTGTAAACTGGTGCCTTCTGCAGATCTGCAAACCAGGCAAATAAGCAACACTGGGTCATGCTGCAGAGCACATGGGGACCCCATGTGTGCCCAAGCCAGAGCGAGCACACCTAGCTCCCTGCAGCTTGCTCCAGTGGACAGAGGCCATCAGGAGACTGCTCAGGCCACATTTCATGGCAACCCAAGGCAATGCTCTTTTAGAGCAAAATACACAAAGTCAAAACGCCTACTCTGAGTGACAAGGGCTGGCAGGAGATTAATCTTCAGTATTAGTAAAAATTAGAACACTTTCCACAAGCCCCACTTTCAATTAGCCACTGTAATTTCTTCACAGGGCAAAGGGTTAAACCCCCTTAAAAAAACAAACAAACAATTAAATTCAGCCATTACATGCCTAAGCCCCTCAAATTTGGCAGCCCATAGCCCAGAAAAACCCAGCTCTATTTACAGAGCAGGAATATCACTAATATATCTTAAAGGGTAGATACCAACAGAAATACCTGCACCATAGTGTATCATCCTTGGGTGGAAGACTCAAATGCCACAAGTGAGGTTATGAAACAAAAGTCATAGCCAAATCATACTTTTTTTTCCTATCTTATTGAGGGCAAAACAGTGTTAAAGCTCTCAAGGACCTCACTGAGGTCAGTGGGTTAAACATAGCCCAAATATCACCAAGAAACTGAGAACCTGCTCTCAACACACCACATGATTTTATATAGTCTAACTCTAGTGATTTCAGAAGAGTTATTCCTGGGTTACGCATGGTTTTTCATGACATACCTCAAGTCTCAACCGATGAGCATCATGGGCACTATGGGCTCCACCTTTTCAGTTCCAAGGTCACCTATTTCTCAGAGGTCCAGCAACTTTCAGAAATATTTTGAATTACACCTATTGTAATCACATTCCTATATTATGCATATTAACATTAGCCTGTCTTCTTTCATAAACAGATTATTAGTCTTCCCAAAACTAACCAGCCAGATGCCTTTGCATGCCGAGTTCTGCAGGCACATCATGAGGGCACCTGAGTTGCCCCCACACAGGGGCAGCTATGGGGCAGCACTGGAGCTGGTTCTAAAAGCAGTTCAGCTGTGCTTGTGCAGCACTACCAGCACAGGTAGCAATGGCACAGGTAATCCACAACCACAATGGCACAGACCATCCACAACAGATAATTTACCCATGGAGAATTAACAGCTGATTGTATTTACAGTCAGTATCATACCCAAGGTCAAGGTACATGGTCTTTTCTTGCTCAGAATCTCTAAATATTAGATAGTACTAGAACACAGATTTAGGAAGATGATAAAAATCAAGCTGTTAAAGTTAAATGAAATTACATAAATTATGTAATAAAACTGTACAATATAGATCACTACATTCCTTAAGAAATTTGTTACAGTTGGAATAACTTTAGAAACTGTTCACTTTACTCTGAAGAGCTATTCTTCCTTCTAGTTATCAGACTACAGTTAGTACATTCACTGACAGTTTGAAGAAATGACTCTGACAAAGGAGGGAGTTGTCAGGTCTATGGAAAATGGTTCTCATCTTTCCTCTGTGAAAGGCCGTGACGGCTGCGAGGAATGAGGAGAGGGGATGAGCCCAGGGAATACACAACTATTATTTGGAAGACAAACAAACAGCCCTTGCAATACAGTAGTTAAATAGAGCATAGCTTTCTAAGTAAGTGTGTTTCAATTTCTGGAAATTTAACAGCAACAGTATGTTTTAGTGATGAAATATGTAAGACATATTTTATTATTTCCCTCACCAAATAAGTCAATCTCAAAAGATTATTTTTTTATTAAAAGCAAAATTCAAGAAGAGCACATAGGCTGGGCCTTTACTCAAGGAGGCCACACAGGTGCACGCCGTAAGTAGCACTCGGCCAAAGAACCTGAAAGGTTAGACAGCATCACTGCCGCCAAATTTCCCAATAAACAAACCTTCACATTTCAGGAGAATCTGAAGTCCACTCCAAAACACCGATTTTCTTTGGGGAGGAAAAGCCACAGCTCCTCAATAGGATCTGCACACAGAGGCATCTGGTTCCATCCAAAGAAGGGTGCGTTGCTGGAAGGCATTGCAAGTACGAAGAGTGTGCTCCTTAAGGAGTCACGGCCGCTATGTACCCAAGGAGGCAGAATGCATAAATATACATGCATTCATATACACTGGCAGGATGCAGGCAGTGAGACATGAAGTAAATGCATGCTTTCAGGGAGTCCTGTAGACAGAGACTGAGAAACCCAAGATGAGGAAGAAATGATGCTACAGTGGTAGTATTTATGTGCTACTGGGAGAAAAAGCGAGAGAGAATAATTTGGCTGTTGCAAGAAAAGTAGATGTTGGTGAGAGAAAATAGCTACATCAGATGGGATGCCCTAAGACTGTTGGGTTTTTTTTTAATTACAAATTATATGTACCAATTTTAAAGCCATCTGTACCACAACAAATATAATTATTCCTATCTCTGAAGACATCAACACATCTGTAAAAGAATGAAAACATACAGAAACCAGAATATCCTGTTATCCCCATTTTTATAATATGCAACAAACTAAACTAAGTTTACAAGAGGTTGTAATCCTAAATGCAGTTAGTCAAAACTGAATTTTGAGATTTTTTATTTGCTCTACAGATTACTTCTTTTCATTTTTCAGTCTGAAAAATTAGTTCAATTTCACTGTAGAAGAGTTTCTCAAGAAAGCTGGGAAAGCCTATAGAACCACAGAATCATTAAGTTACAATAATTTGAAAACTACACCAGATAATTGCCTTGTGCTCCTTGCTATTTAGCTCTGGAGCTCCTATTTCCAGAATTGTGTGCTAGTACACTAGGATTGCCCTTTTCAAACCCAACACCATGCACTTCCAAAGGCTGCACAGGATTCTGTGGTCTCCTAGGGTAACCTTCGATGAAAGCCAAGATGAACTTGGCTTATTTTATTTTATTCTTACAAATACATAAACTACCCTAAAAAAAAAGGCTGCCAAAAACAGCACGGAAGAAAGCTGCTCTTCTTTATGTATTTCATTCCACATACTAACATGTATCTCCCAGGTGATACACACGAGTTGCTACTTCAAGCCAAAACCAAACAGCAAACTCTGCTACCTCACCTCTCTCTGACGACTACACAGTAACAAGCCACAAATTATTTCTTCAAAACCCAAAAAAGCTCAGTAAAATTTTTGGCAAATTAATTCATTGATTATTAAGATGTCACCACACAAGGACATGAATTAAATACGTGGATAAATACCTCGGGTTTTGCTTTGCTGAAGATGAAAATGTTGTGTATCCATTTAAACGCATCACTATGGTATCAGGAAAAGAGCAATGTTATAATTGGAGTCCCTGAAAACATTTAATAAACAGAGAATCTAATATATTATTTCAGGATTTTTACATTATTT